AAGCAAGAAATTCTAATACAAAAATAGCAGTTAATAGAGCAGTATAGCTTAGAGCAGCACTATATATGCTAGTTTCATGAAACTCAATACTACTAATAAGCAGTATAGCAAGAGAAATAATATTACTTGCTATAACTGCAGTAAACAGAAATATATAGCATGCAATTGCTATTAATTTCGAAAGAATAAATAGCAACTAGTTCAGAAAGAATACTAGATAAATATTGCTTAGCAATAGAAACTTAATCAACTAAGCAAAAATATTCCTTTGAAGCAAGTATCAAATTCTATTAATTATAGAAATCTTAGCTAAACATTCTGCTATAATAATAACTGCTTAATATATCTCTCAAGTAAGAAAGATTCAGAATAGTTTCCTTAGAAATCTAAGCGCTATAAGCAGATAGCAATAGCAGAACGGAGCTATATGCTCAGCATAACTATAAGCAGTAGCAATTCGAACTGCTTTAATATTACTAAATAAAGTATTCAAATATTGAAAGAAGAGCTTAGCAATAATATTCTTCATTATTTCTCGCTACTTATGCTAAGCATTACAATTAGAGATATGAATAAGGGATGATATCTTCTTAGTTATTAGTACAAATATCTGAACAATATCGAAAATGCTTTATAAGTAACAGAAGAACCTAGCTAAGATAAACGATTTGCTGATTCACTAGAATCTCTCATAAACAATGAACTCAAAAAGCTTACAGAAAGATTTCCTTTCAGCATTGAATAGAATAAGGAAACAATATAAATTAAATATCTTGTTTATAGAATAGAGCTAGAAAAGCTTTTTATCTATATTCCTTTACAAAATATCAAAGCATAATAAAACAAGAATTCTCGAATCAGCTCACTTCACAGCTTATACTACGAACTAGCATAAATCTTCTGCATCTATTATAGCTGCAGAATGCATTTCTCGGAAAAGATATAATACAATTAGTTTCCTGTTAGAGAATCAGAATAAATCCTTCAGGCTGTTAAAGAATAGAAACTCTGCTTTAGAGAAGTTCTCAATAGATAGCATTATAATGCATATATTAAGCTATTAGATAATTGCTCTGAGCAATATATAAATAAGAAAATAGAATAGTAGCAATATGAAATAATGTTCTATATAATTCATATTAATAATAAGATTTGCAATTAGTATGAATAGAAGAAAGATTAGAAATAATAATAATATAAGCAAAAGCAAGCTAAGAAGCTTGCTTAAGAAGCAGCAAAGCAAGCTTAGAGAAAGAATAAGCAGCTTTCAATAATTTCAAAAGAATAGGATTGTTTGTAAAGAAACTGCAGATGATTAAACTGAAATAGTTCCTATATAAAGCTTTCAAAGCAGATTATGCTTATATTAAGTTCAATATATATATTTAAGAATACAGATATAGCGCACTATTGAATAGTAGCGCTCAGAAAAACTTTATATTCCTATATATTATTAATCAAACATAACTATAATGAAAATAAAAAAAGCAATTATATACTCTTAGCACTATAAAAGAATAATCTATTGCATATAACTAAGAAGTAATCAATAAGAAGATTAATCATCTATCTATCTTGATTCAAGAATATATAACTAAGGTTTCTTTTAATATTACGAATACAGCACAGTATGAGCTGATTATGAAGCTTTTATAGCTTAAGAAGCACAATTCTCGAATCAATTGAACTACTGGCTAGATCTCATGAGAATAAGCTGTATTCAGAGAAATAGTTGCAATCAACAATGCAGGATTGAAGCTAGTTATTGAAAAATACTCAGGAAAAGAAGCTTCAAACAACTTCACAGATATTTTCAAACCAGCAAAGCTGATAGTTCAAGGAGAAGAACTTAGTAACAAGCGAACTCAAACAGTGCTAGAGCGCTAACAGGTTAGCAAGACAACGGAAGCGAAGCTCTCAGCAGGTCGGCCTGCTCCGAAGCAACAAGGAAAAGCTTCAAAATGTGAATTGTGGGTTCACACAGAAACTTCGAAACCAGGCTCTCGAGCGGTCGGTTCAGCTCGGAGCAGACGCTTAAAGCTTTCAAAAACAACGAACGAAAAGAAATACGCTCAACAGTACCTACTGTTCCTCCAGATAGCAGAAACAGCATATAAATCAGAACTAATACTCGCAAGCATATTACGAGAATATTACAAGTTCAAAAAATTATTTCAGAAAAAACTGAATACAGAATTATTAGAATATAGCTTATACAACTATAAGATTCTGCTATAAAAAGAAAAACAGCTTAAGTTCTTTCTTATCTATGGATTAAATAAGATATAATTAGAAATACTCAAGAAGTATCTTAATGAGAATCTTAAGAAAGAATATATATAATCATTATAATTATCAGCAGAATATCTCATTCTGTTTATACTTAAGAAAAATAGCAAGCTTAAGCTATATATTAATTATAAGCAACTTAATAATATTATAATTAAGAATTAATATTTGTTGCTATTTATTAAGAAATTATGAAATAAATTGCAAGAAGTATAGTAATTTATAGCTCTGAATCTGAAAGAAGCTTATAATCTAATTAGAATAAAGAAAGAAGAAGAATAGAAAACTGCTTTTAGAATATATTATAAATACTACGAATATTTGATTATACTCTTCAGTTTAATAAATACCTTAGCTTCATTTCAAGAAATAATCAATTATATTTTATATAAATATCTAAATTAGTTTATTATTATATATCTCAATAATATTCTTATTTACTTTCGAATGCTAAAAGAATATAAGAAATATATGAAAACAGTATTGCAAACGCTTTAGAATGCAAAACTCCTTGTAGAATCTGCAAAAAGTTACTTTTATATACAAAAGATTAATTATTTCGAATTTATAATCAAGCTAGAATACATTAAGCTACAAAAAAATAAGATAAAAGCTATTAGAAACTAGCTAATTCTCAGAAATATTAGAAATATTAAATCTTTTCTTGAATATATTAACTTCTATAAGCAGTTTATTAAGAATTATAGCTAAATTGCATATTCTCTTATAAATCTTATTAAGAAGAAGCAGCTTTTTAAATAAACTTTCAAAGCATAAAAAGCTTTTAATAAGATTATCAAGTATATTATCTTAGAGCTAATTCTATACAAAGCAGATCTTTATAAACTCTTTGAAATTAAAATCAATACATTGGGATATATATTCGGGAAACAATTTGATTAGCAAGATAACTAAGAATGTTTAAGAATTATAAGCAATTTTTCAAAAAAGTTAAATAGCTTAGAAATCAATTATAAAATCTCTAATTAGAAACTTATAGCAATAATAAAAGCTTTTAAGGAATAGCAATATTATTTTATTAGTATACAATATTCAATTATAATTTATTCGAATTATAAGAATCTAATTATATTTATAATAATCAAAGTTTTAAATAAGTAATAAGTTAAATAAGCAGAATTTCTTTTATAATTTAACTTCAGAATTATATACTGCAAAAGCTCAGAGAATGAATAAGCAGATGCTCTTAGCAAGCAATCAGATTATTGAAATGCAGATTTCTCAGATATATAGAATATCTTTGCTTAAAATGAATTAGGAAATCTTGTTAATATATATAGAGAACTGAATGCTATCTTTAGAATCAAATCTTTGGAAAAGAATTCAGAATTAATAATTTCAGATGAATAGAATAGCTATATCAAGAATATATATAGCGCATTAGCATACAGATATCAGAGAATCAGAGCAATCTATAAATATATTAGAAGATACTAAAATTTATTAAACTTTAGAAAAAGAATTGAGAATATTCTATAACAATGCAATAGCTATAAGAAGAATAAAGCAGAAAGATACAAGTCTTATAAACTACTGCATTTCTTATTAGTATTTATAACTATTTAGCAATCTATTAATTTAAACTTTATTATTAAGCTATTTCTTTTATAAGAACTCTTAATTAAGATATAATATAATAGCATTTTAGTAGTAATTTGTAAACTGAGCAAGTATGCTTACTTTCTTTTTTATAAGAAAAGCAGTATAGCAGAAGAACTCGCATATACATTTCTCAGAATGATTATTGCTAGCTACAGCATGCTAGAAGAAGTAATCTTTAATAGAAACAGAAAGTTTAATTCAAAGTTTTGAACTTTGCTTATAAAACAGCTTGAAATATATTACAAAATATTCATAGCATTTCACTTGCAAATAAATAAATAAATAGAAAGAATAAACTAAGTTATTAAATAATATCTTTAATATTATATTAATTAGAAATAAAATAACTGAATTAATCTATTGCTTCTTATATAGTTCGCTTATAATAATACAAATATAAGCATAATAAAGAAATCATTATTCTTCATACTTTATAAATACAATCTAACAGCTTATTACAAGATACTACTAGAAGCGAATGCAGAAGCTACAAATAAAAGAATTAAGAAAATCAAGAAGATTTAGAAAGAACTTCAATTAGAATTACAATTCATTCAAGAACAAATAATACAGTATACAAACTCCAAAAGAATTGAGAAACCAATTCTATAGGAAAGAGATAAGATCTATCTATTTCGAAAAAATATCAAAATAATCAAATCTAGCAACAAACTTAATTATAAAAAGTTAGAATTATTTAAAATCTTGCAACAGATTTTCCCAGTTAACTATGAATTAGCTCTATCTTATAAGATAAGAATATATCCAGTTTTTTATATCTTATTACTAGAATTAGCAGTATAGAAAATATTAGCAGATAATATAGCAGAAATAGAAAATAATAAATCAGAGTATAAGATAAAGAAGATTCTTAAGTACAGAAGTATAGATAGTATGAAGGAATACTTTATCAAATGGAAAGATTACTTAGCAAGCGAGAATTTATAAAAACTATAGGAAAACATCAAAAACGCTTAGGAAAAAGTAGCTGAGTATTGGAAAAGAAAAGAAACTAGCACTTAGAATGATCACTTCATTCCAAACCAAAATTCAGAAACCTTGAAAACCTTACTCTTCAGAAAACTCAATCAGTTTATTACAGAGTTTCTTAAATCTACGGAACTCCAATCAAAACTCTCAAAAGAAGAATCCTTAGCTATAACAGCAGATTCCTTAGCCACTACAGCCTGCACTTTAGCAGCAATATGCATCCTCTCAGCCTCAGCCTTCTCAGCTTCTATACAATCCAATTCCTTCATACAAGTAATATTATAATGCAGAGCATATTTCATCTTCTCAGACTATATTCATTTCTATTAATATAAATAGAAAAGCTTAGTTTTTCTCTTTTCAATTTCATTTTCCAATTTTCAATATTAGATAGCAATATTGCAAAGCTTCTCAGAGAAGGGACTTATAATGTTGCATTTGGAGCAATCTAGGCGAATATATTCAATATAGCAAGAAGAGTTTCTGGAAAACATCTTGCAGAATTTGAAACTGCGCTTCTTATAATAGGAATAGATGAGCATTTTAACAAAGTTCTTCAAGAAGCGGGAAATCAGAAGATTTCGATCTTGAATACTTTTTGAAACAGAGAAAGATCTGCGAATACAGGATTTATTGATTCTATTCGATATCTCAATCAGGAAAGCAAGATTATACATATGGAGAACTTGCTAGAATACTTATAGAAGATTATTGAGAATAATAATTAATAGAAAAGAAATAATATTATAATTCATTTAATATACAGATTACAGAATAAAGCTCTACTAACTAAGAAACTAGATATTATAATTTAATATTGAATACTAAGCAGGATTATATAATCCGGATTAGAGTTGCTAGCGCAACTATATTAATTATGAATATAATTAATATATTTGGAGAAATAACTATGAGAGATCGGAATATAGTTAGGATAGTTAGAATTGAAGAGCTGAATATATAAGAATCTGTTCATTATTATTAGATAGATTCAGTATATAGCTCTTCAGTTATCAATCTAAGTATTCAGTCTTATACACTGAGTAGCTTCAAAGGCAGTGAACACTTGCATCGCTTATTAGGACTTATATGATTCCGTATTCAAGGACTTGATACTTTGATACCGCTCTTGTTAGCATAAACCCTTCGTGTACTCATTACAATGATAGATAAAGGAAATAAAAGAGCTCAGCAGGGAAAAAAAAATGCGCTCGTTTATAGAGTAAACTTGCTGCTCTTACTGATCCTTACAAACTATAATACAAACAGCTCTAAGCTACCAGCCTGAATAGCTAAGTTTATACTCACTGCATCATTGAATCAGAAATGAGCTGTTGCTCTCGAAAGAAAAAGAAATAAACAGCTGCTGAAGCAATGAGCAAGAACTTGTGCAACTCAAGCATGCTTGTACAAATGAGGACAGCAAACTAAGGCTACACGAGCGTAAGAACAGAGTGAAAGATCTGTCTTAGACCTGTTCAAAGAGTTTAAAATTGAAAAGAAGAGAAAGGATGCTTTTTTTTTGCTTATAGCTAAAGAATTTGAAAAGTGAGTAGTATTCTTTATATGTATGAGAACTCTTAACTCACTGTACTCCACGTTCCACGAACTACTACTCTGGCTATTACAACACTAGAGCTATAAATCACTATACTTCTTGCAATCTATCTTGCAATTTCTTAATAAGTAGTAATAAATATCAGTTCTTAATTATAATATTATTAAATTGCTTATAATCAATATATAGTCTGAGCTTGCTATTCTTCTTAAGTATAAATAGAATAGGATATTCTGCTAATAATTATAATAATTATATATATTCCTTTTTAAGATTCTTATTAAAATACTTCTTAAGCGTTTCTAGTTATATCTTATCTAGTCTATAGATAGGAAAGAATTTAAGCTATTTTCCTTCTTATAGCAGGATCTCGTGATTATATAAGCTGTATTCTGATAATTCTGTATTCAATTCTTCTTGGAATAATTTCTTAAATTTGTAATATTCTCATAATATACTTGCAAGTATTGGTTCTGATTCATGTACTGTTTCTGCTATCTGGAGGAATAGTAGGTACTGTTAAGCATGCTTCTTTTTATTCTTTGTTTCTGATAGCGTTTTTGAGAGCTTTAAGCGTTCGCTCCGGGCTGAACCGACTGCTTGAGAGCTTGGTTTCGAGGTTTTTCTCGTGTGAACTTACAATTCACATTCTGAAGCCTTTCCTTGTTGCTCCGGAGCGGATCGATTTGCTGAGAATCTCGCTTCTGTTGTTTTGCTAACCTATTAGCGCTCTGATACTGTTTGAATCCGCTTGTTACTAGGTTCTTCTCCTTGAACTGCTAGCTCTGCTAGCTTGAAGATATATATGAAGTTATTTAAAGCCTTTTTTCCCGAGTATTCTTTAATAACTAACTTTCATCCTGCATTATTAATTGCAACTATCTCTCTGAATATAGCTTGTTTTCATAAGATTTAGCCAGTAGTTTAATCAATTCGAGGATTATGCTTCTTAAGCTATGAAAGCTTTATAATCAGCTCATATTGTGCTATATTTGTAGTATTAAAGGAAACTCTGATTACATATTCTTAAATTAAGATAAGTAGATGATTAGTTTTCTTATTAATTACTTCTTAGTTGTATGCAATAGATTATTCTTCTATAGTGCTGAGAGTATATAGCTGCTTCTTCCATTTCCATTGTAGTTATGCTTGATTGATAATATATAGAAATATAAAATTTCTCTAAGTATTACTATTTAATAGTGCGCTATACTTATATTCTTAAATGTATATATTAAGCTTGATATGAGCATAGTTTGCTTTAAAAGCTTTATATAAGAACTGTTTCAGTCTAATCATCTGCAGTTCTCTTACAAGCAATTCTAGCTTTTTGAAGTTATTAAGAACTGTTTGTTCTTCTTCTAAGCTTGCTTTGCTGCTTCTTAAGTAAGCTTTTTAGCTTGCTTTTGCTCATATTATTATTATTCCTAATCTTTCTTCTATTAATGCTAGTTGCAAACTTTATTATTAATATGAATCATATAAAGCATTATTCTGCATTGCTACTATTCTATTTTCTTGTTTATATATTGCTTGAAGCAGTTATTTAGTAGCTCAATGTATGCATTATTATACTGTTTGTTAAGAATTTCTCTGAAGTAAAGTTCTTGCTTTTTAATAGCTTGAAGGATTTGTTCTAATTCTTTAATAAGGAACTATTCATGCTGTACTTTTTCCAAGAAATGCATTCTGCAGCTGTAATAAGCACAGGAGATTCATGCTAGCTTATAGTATAGATTATAAAGTAAGCTAATTCGAGGATTCTTGCTTTGCTATGCTTCGATGCTCTGTAAGAAAATGTAAATAAAGAGCTCTTCTAGCTCTATTCTATAAACAAGATATTCAATTCATATTATCTTCTTATTCCATTCAATGCTGAAGGGAAATCTTTCTTTTCGAACTTCTGTAGAGCTGTTAGGTTTGTTGTTTACGGAAGATTCTAATGAATTGCTAAGTCGTTTGCTCTAGCTGAATTCTTCTGTTGTCTGAGAGATATTTTCAGTATCATTTAGATATTTGTATTAATAGCTAAAAGAATATCATTTCTTATTCATATTCCTAATTATAATACTTGATATAGATAATAAGGAATAATAAAGAGTATTATTACTAAGTTCTTTCTTCAATGCTTGAATACTTTGTTTAATAATATTAGAGCAGTTCGAGTTGTTGCTGCTCATAATTATGCTAAGCATATACTCTCGCCCTTCTATCGCTATCTATCTATAATGCTTAGATCTCTAAGAGAATCATTCTGAGCTTTTCTTATTTGAGAGATATATTAAGCAGTTATTATTATAGCAGAATATTCAGCTGAGATTTCTATAATCAACAGAGTCCGATACTTGCTTCAAGAGAATGTTTTTGCTTAGTTAATTGAGTTTCTATTGCTAAGCAATATTCATCTAGCATTCTTTCTAAACTGATTGCTATTTATTCTTTCTAAATTAATAGCAATTGTATAATATGTATTTCTGTTTATTGCAGTTATAGCAAGTAATACTGTTTCTTTTGCTATATTGCTTATTAGTAGCATCGAATTTCATAAAATCAGCATGCATAGTACTGCTTTAAGCTGTACTGCTATATTGATTGCTATTTTTATATTGAAATTTCTTGCTTATATTAGCTAGAAATCTCTAAATCTAGCTTTTTTCTTTTCTAGATTTTTCTATTTATTATTCATATAAATAGTTATTAATGCAAATTATTTAGTTAGAGAATATTGCAAAGTTTTCTAATTAATTCTGCTTAAAGATTTCATTCTTAATATTATTCTTAAATTTCTTATAATAATATTTTATAAGATTCTTATCTTTCTATAGAAATTATACTGAGAATTACTTAAATCTGATTATATAAGCAGAAGCTAACTTAGTTTGCTTAAGATTTATAAGCTGCTAAGCTGTAATATATTCCTTATTAGAATTGCTAAAGATTTCTTTAAAAGCTTTTTCAAAGCTTGCAAAAAAATCAAATATATTCTTAGTATTCTAAGTATATACATTGAGATTATTCTAATACTCTAAGTAATTGCATAGAGAAAGCTTATATTAGATAAGAGCATTCTATTCGAAATGAGTTTCTGCAAGAATAATTTTCTTAGATTCCTTAGTAAACTGAATTATATAATACAAAAAGTATGCTTTATAGTAAGTAAGAAACTTATATAATATTTTCTAATTGCTATTATATATAGCAAGCTTGTTCATCTTATATGCTTTTCTAGCATTGCTAATAATTATAAAAATAAACTGCATTTACTAAGCTTAATAAGCTAGCTAAGCTTGCTAATTAGTAATAATAGCGCTTTAAGCTTGCTATTAATTGCGCAGATTCTGAATATACTGAATAAGCTAGTATATCTGATTAATTAGTTCTTTCTGAGTAGAGATACACAAGAACGAAGAGATTTCTTAAGAAGCTATTATATTCTGTATTGCTCAAGAAAATAATACTGAATTATTCTTAAATAAGAGTTATCAAAATATAATAAGTACTGCAGTAATCCGAAGATTCCAAAGTATACAAAGAGTTTATACTAATAAGAGCAGTGCTAAGTACAAGCCTTGAATACGGAAATATAACTGAGTAATTGTATAAGTATTCACTGCTTTTGAAGCTATCAGAGTAGAGAATAATCTGATACTTAGATTAATAACTGAAGAGCTATATACTAAATCTATCTAATGATAATGAATGTATGATTATATATTTAGCTCTTTAATATAAATTGCGGGAATCGCTAGCAAGCTTAGCGATTCAAGATATAAGATTCGCTGGGATTAGTAGCAAGTTCAGCGATCCTCCCTCCTTTACAATCCTAACCCTGAGTTATATAATCCATGTTTTTGTCAGAACATTGAGTTCTTAACATCTAGTTCTTGTTACTCGTGACCTGTTTCGTGACTTGCATATTGAATGAGTCATAACATTAGATTTCTCCAATCCAATATTCTCGAAATGTATAGGAATCTCAACAGTTCTCATACTTGCATCTCCTTCAACTTCATTATTAGAGCTTGTATGCGCACAAAGGAAATAAGTGGCTCTTGCGACCCCTGGTAGCAGTTCAGAGCTGCTGCAAGAGCTTCGCTCCGAAGCAGCGCTCTCGTACAATACCGCATAGCTATCAAGCTATTGTCATCTCATTTAGTTCAGACCAATTGTGTATATAAGGGAAAGGGGAATAACAGATTCAGCAGCGAAAAAGAGGAGAAGGGAAATAGGTTCAGTAGTCTCTTTGAATGGAAGTATCAACAGAGCAGCTTGGGAGCAGCTTATATCCCTTTATCTCACTTGTGTGCTCTTTTTACTCTGATAAGTCTGAACTTTTTATTCTTTCCCGGGAAGTAAGCTGTTAGAAGTGAGAATAGCTTCAGTTATATGAAGCAGTAGCGCTGCTTCAGAGCGATAATCATAATGAGCTGGCGATTCCGATCTCTTATAGACTCTAAGCTAACTTTCTTCTTAAATCCTTTCTTCAAGCTCAAATTCAGATCCAGCTTACAAGAATCTCTTGCTCAAAGCATCAGCAGATATAGCTAGATTACAATGCTAGGAATACGAGCTTGATTATCAGTTAAAAGAAGAAGAGATATAGCAGCAGCTGAGAAGCAAGCGCGCTCGCTTAATACTACTCCAGAGCAGCAATATCAGCTCGGAGCTTCAGCCAGCTAGCTTCAGCCCTTTCAGCACCCCTCCTGTGCCAATCTCTTCAGAAGCACTCTCAACAGCGCTTGCACAGCTATATTGCAGCTTGCTAGCTCTTATATATAAGAGAGGATTATATATAGAGTTAAAAATATTTCTATACAATCTGCAATACTATTTCAATATCTGCTACTTAATTAATAAAGCGGATAAGATGAAATATGCAGTATACTGCTTGAAAAATGATTCCAAGCAGAACTAGATCAACTATATTGCTTGCTAGAAGAAGGAACAGCATAAGCTTATTCTTATTATCTTTAAAGAACTTAAGTTCTTTCTAAAGAACTAGTTAGCTAATTCTATCATCTGCACTATTACTGCTGCAGCAATGCTTGCAAGCATTGCTTAAGATAAGAGCGAATTAGTAATAAGCTTTATATGCTAGTATTAGAAAGCGAAGCTTGAATTTCATTATTCTAATACCGAGCAATACTGCATAATAGCTATTCTTATATACTTTAAATTAGAGATTTGTATTGCTATCAGTATACAGATAATGCTCTTAAGCAGCTGAAATGCTCTGATTAGCTTAGCATGATATATCGAATTTGCTTAAGAGATGATTATTAATTCTTAATCTGCTATCAAAATGCTTCTAAGCAGCAGCTCAGAAATTACTACTTCCTCATATTGTAGCTGTTATAGCTGTAGCAAGCTAGGCTATATAGCAAGGGACTGCATAGCTTTGCATAGTTCTTAAGCACTTCTTCTTATGAGCACTCAAGCTTTGTTAATACATTCTCAGACAGTTAATAACAACTTTGCTCGCTATTACAACTATCAGAAGATAAGCTATTTTGCTAATCTATATTCGAAGCTTTAACGGAATATCTGTTACACTTGCAATAAGCTAAGCTACTATAGTTTCAGTTGCTTAGAAGCAGAATGTTAGATTTGCAGGAAGAAGAAGCATACAGCAAACAGCTGCAAGCAGGCTAACAAGGTGGCAACAGCTACGCAACAGAGCTGAGGAAACGCTGAGCAGAAGCTTTGCCAGCTTACCATTCATGCAAGGCTGTTGCTTGGAAACAAAAGGAAGCATACGTATAGATTGGTTAACTTGAGAGCAGAGAAGAATCTGATTAATTGCTGCTTAGTTAAAGCTCTAGTGCAGAACTAATCTTTTAAAGCATTCTTCAAGCTTATCTCAATTAATTAGAAAGCTATTATTATATATAGCAGCTGCTCTATCGATATAAAAATTATAGATAGCTTAGAAACATTCAGAAAGCAGTGCTATCGCTTTATAGTAGCAGATATTAGCTAGCTCAGCTTGATTCTGAAGTTTCTGTAGCTTGAGATCGTTAATCCAGTAATACAATAGAATATGAAGCAATGAAGATTTCCCCTCCAGCGCTCCCAGATTCAGCTCTGCATTATGGCGAAAGGGCTTGAGAAAGCAAGGATTGCCTTTGCAGCATATTACTACCCAAGCTCACCAGACCTACTCCTCAAAGCTGAGCTAGAAAATGCAGCGCTAGAGCTGCACCTGCTCCCTGAGTACTGCAACTTTGTTAATCTATGCATGAAGAAGACATCAAAATCGCTCGCACCTCATACTAATATCGACTATTGTATCGAGCTCGAAGAGGAAGCAAAACTGCTTTGAAAGCTCTTGTACGCTTTCTCTACAGCTAAACTAGAAATACTCAGGAAATATTTGGAGAAAATGCTAGCTAGAAGATGGATTCGACTCTCAACTAGCTCTGCTAGCGCATTTATACTATTTGTGCTAAAGAAAGAAAGCGAGCTGCGCTTCTGCATGAACTATAGAATGCTGAATCGGATTATATACAAGAACTGCACCTCATTGCCTTTGATTGCTGAGATTCTTAATTAACTAAGCTATATACAAATCTATATCAAGCTCGATCTTAAGAATGCATACTATTAGCTCTGAATCTATAAAGAAGATGAGTAGAAGACTGCTGTAATGAGCACTGCAGCAATCTGAGAATTCCTAAGTATACAAGAAGATTTATGCTAACAAGAGCGGTATCAAAGTATTAAGTTCTTGAATACAGAATCATACAAGTCTTAATAAGCAATGCAAGTGTTTACTGCCTTTGAAGCTACTCAGTATATGAGACTGAATACTTAGATTGATAACTGAAGAGCTATATACTGAATCTATCTAGTAGTAATGAATGTGTTCTTATATATTCAGCTCTTCAGTATAGCTTGTCGGGATTGTTAGCAAGCTCAGCAATCCTAAGTGTGAAGCTTGTTGGGATTGTTAGCAAGCCTAGCAATCCTAAATATAAAGCTTATCAGGATCATTAGCAAGCTTAGCAATTCTCTCTTCTTTACAACCCTAATCCTGAATTATATAATTAATGCTTTATTAGAATATTAAGTTTCTAATATTTAGTTCTTATTACTTGTAATTTATTTTGTAATCTGTATACTGAATAAGTTATAATATTATCTTCTTTCTATTAGTTATTATTCTCAACAATCTTTTATAAGTATTCTAGCAAGTTTCTATATTCATGATCTTATCTTCCTAATCAAGATGTTGAATAGAATTAACAAAGTTGCGAAACCGAAATCTTCGAATTCTCGTTCTGATAAAAAAAAACAGAAAAGCTTTCTTCTTTAGTTTATTCTCTCAAACAGTTTCAATATACATCCCTGTTCTTATTGCAATAATTAGAGTTTGCAATCATATATCGTTTCTTCTTATAATTCATTCTGTTGCTCGGAGTGCATTTCCTAGAATCGCGCTAAGTGCAACGTTCTGAAATTAACGAATGCTGCTGAACTTTTTCTTACTTCTACTCAATATCGAAAGCTGAAGAATGAGATAGAAGAGTTGGAGTTAAAATTGCTTCAACTGCATTAACAAAAGAAGATATAGCGCGAAAGGATGTTTCGAGCTATTCGTTGAAGCTTTACGAATCTTGAAAAGCTTGAGAGAGAGAAAGCTGAGGAAGCTGAAGCTGAGAGGGCGCATATTGCTGCTGAAGTGCAGGCTGTAGTAACTAAGGAATCTGCTGTTACAGCTGAGGATTTCTCTTTTGAGAGTTTTGATTGAAATTCTGTAAACTTGGGGAATTCTATAATTGACTGGTTAAGCTTTCTGGAGAATAAGGCTTCCGAGGCTTCTGAGTTTCGGTTTAGGGCGGAGCAACTGTTCTAAGTGCTGGTTTCTTTCCTTTTCCAATACTCAGCTATTCTTTTCTAAGCATTTTCAACATTCTTCTATAGTTCTTATGAGTTTTCGCTTGCTGAGTATTCTTTTCACTTGATAAGATATTCTCTTATAATGTTTATACTTCTATACTTAAGAATTTTCTCTATCTTGTATTCTAACTCATTGTTTTTCACTTCTGCTGTATTATCTATTAATGCTTTCTATACTGCTAGTTCCAGCAATAAGATGTGGAAAACCGGATATATTCTTATCCTATAAGATAATGCTAATTCGTAGTTAACTGGGAAGATCTGTTATAAGATTTTGAATGATTCCAATTTCTTATAATCGAGTTTGTTGCTAGATCTGATTATTTTGATATTTTTCTAAAGTAGATAGATTTTATCTCTTTTCTATAGAATTGATTTCTTAATTCTTTTGGAGTTTGCATATTGTACTATTTGTTTCTGAATGAATTGTAATTCTGATTGGAGTTCTTTCTGAACTTTCTTAATCTTCTTAATTCTTTTATTTGCAGCTTCTATATCTGCTTTTAATAATACTTTATAGTAAGCTATTAGATTATATTTATAGAGTATAAAGAATAGCAATTTCTTTGTTATGCTTATATTTATGCTATTATAAGCGAATTATGTAAGAAGCAATAGATTAATTTAGTTATTCTGTTTCTAATTAATATAGTATTGAAAGTATTATTCAATAATCTGATTTATTCTTTTTATTTATTTATCTGTTTGTAAATAAAATGCTATAGATATTTTGTAGTATATTCTAAGTTGTTTTATAAGCAAAGTTCAAAACTTTGAATTAAACTTTCTATTTCTATTAGAGATTACTTCTTCTAGCATGCTATAGTTTGCAATAATCATTCTAAGGAATATATATATAAGTTTTTCTGCTATATTGCTCTTCTTATAAGAAAAAAAGTAAGTATACTTGCTTAATTTGCAAACTATTACTAGAATGCTATTATATTATATCTTAATTAAGAGTTTTTATAAGAAAGATAACTTAATAATAAAGTTTAGATTAATAAATTGCTAAATAATTATAAATACTAATAAGAGATATAATAGTTTGTAAAGCTTATATTTTTTTGTTTTATTCTTTTTGCAGCTATTGCATTATTATAAAATGTTTTCAATTCTTTTTCTAAAGCTTAATAGATTCTAGTATCTTTTAATGCATTTATAGATTGCTCTAATTCTCTAATATTCATATGCTAATATACTATATACATTCTTGATATAGTTATTTTATTTATCTAGAATTATTAATTCTGAATTCTTTTCTGAAGATTTAATTCTGAAAGCAGCATTTAGCTCTTTATATGCATTAATAAGATTTTCTAACTTTTTTGAGCAAAGATATTTTATATATTCAAGAAATCTGTACTTCAATAATCTGATTTTCTGCTAAGAGCGTCTGCTTATTTATTCTCTAAGCTTTTGCAATGTACAATCTTGAAATTAAACTGTAAGAGGAATTCTGCTTATCTAACTTATTACTTATTCAAAACTTTAGTTGTTATAAATATGATTAGATTCTTATAATCTGAGTGAACTATGATCGGATGCTATATGCTAATGAGATAGTATTGCTATTCCTCGAAAGCTTTTACTATTGCTATGAGCTTCTGATTAGGGATTTTATAGTTGATTTCTGAGCTATTTAACTTCTTTGAAAAGTTGCTTATAATTCTTAAATGCTCTTAATTATCTTGCTAATCAAGTTGTTCTCCGAATGCATATTCTAATGCATTGATTTCAATTTTAAAAGATTTGTAGAGATTCGCTTTATACAAAATTAGCTCTAAAGTAATATGCTTAATAATCTTATTAAAAGCTTCTTATGCTTTGGAGATTTATTTAAAGAATTAATTCTTTTTGATAAGATTTGTAAGAAAGTATGCGATTCAGCTATAGTTTCTAATGAACTGCTTATAGAAGTTAATATATTCGAGAAAAGATCTAATATTTCTAATATTCTTAGAAATTAGCTAGTTTCTAATAGCTTTTATTTTATCTTTCTATAGCTTAATATATTCTAGCTTAATTGTAAATTCGAAATAGTTAATCTTTTGTATATAAAAGTAACTTTTAGCAGATTTTATAAGAAGTTTTGCATCTTAAAGCATTTGCAATACTATTTCTATATATTTTTTATATTCTTTTAATATTTAAAAGAAAATAAGAATATTATTGAGATATGCAATAATAAACTAATTCAGATGTTTATATAAAATATAATTAATTATTTCTTAAAATGAAGCTGGAATATTTGTTAAACTGAAGAGCATAATCAAATATTCGTAGTATTTGTAGCGTATTCTGAAAGCAGTTTTCCATTCCTCTTCTTCTTTTATTCTAATCAGATTATAAGCTTCTTTCAGATCTAGAACTATAAACTACTATACTTCTTGTAATCTATCTTGTAATTTCTTAATAAGTAGCAACAAATATTAGTTATTAATTATAATATTATTAAGTTACTTGTAATTAATATATAGCTTAAGCTTACTATTTTTCTTAAATATAAATAGAATAAGATATTCTGCTAATAATTGTAATAATTATATATATTCTTTCTTAAGATTTTTATTAAGATATTCTCTGAATGCTTCTAATCATGCTATATCTAGTATATAGATAAAGAAGAACTTAAGCTATTTTTCTTCTTGTAGTAGGATCTTGTAATTATATGAATTGTATTCTAACAATTCTGTATTCAATTCTTTCTGAAATAGTTTCTTAAACTTGTAATATTCTCGTAGTATATTTGCAAGTATTAGTTTTAATTTATTCGCTGTTTCTGCTATCTGAAGGAACAGTAGGTACTGTTGAGCGTGCTTCTTTTTGTTCGTTGTTTTTAGTAATATTTTTGAGAGCTTTGAGTATTCGCTCTGAGCTGAACTGAGCGCTTGAGAGCTTAGTTTCGAGGTTTTTCCTGTGTAGATTTACAATTCACATTCTAAAGCTTTTTCTTATTGCTCCGGAGCGAACTAACTTGCTAAGAGTTTCGCTTCTGTTATTTTGCTAATCTATTAGTACTCTAGCACTATTTGGGTTCGCTTGCTACTAGATTCTTCTTCTTGAGCTGCTAGTCTTGCTAGTTTGAAAGTATGTATAAAGTTGTTTAAAGCTTTTTTTCTCAAGTGCTCTTCAATAACTAACTTCAATCCTGTGCTATTAATTGCAACTATCTCCCTGAGTATAGCTTGTTCTTATGAGATCTGGCTAATAATCTAATCGATTCAAGAATTGTACTTCTTAAGCTATAAAAGTTTCATAATCAGCTTATACTATACTATATTCATGATATCAAAAGAAGCTCTGATTATACATTCTTAGATTAAGATAAGTAGATAATTAGTTTTTTTATTGATTACTTCTTAATTATATGCAATAGATTATTCTTTTATAATACTGAGAGTATATGAGCATTTCTTCTATCTCTATTATAATTGTGCTTAATTAATAATATGTGAGAATATGAAGTTTCTCTGAGTGCTACTGTTCAATAGTGCGCTGTACTTATATTCTTAAATATATATACTGAACTTAATATAAGCATAGTTTGCTCTAATAGCTTTATATAAGAATCATTCTAGTCTGATCATCTGCAGTTTCTTTACAAGCGATTCTATTCTTTTGAATTTATTGAGAACTGCTTATCCTTCTGAG